CGCGCCATCGCTGTGGAAATTTGGGGGGGGGGGAGAGGAGCGGTGGTAGGCGCAGGGCTCACACAGAAGTGAGAAAAGCAGCATTATTGACATGTTCTGCAATCACTGATATCAAAGAATTCATGATTCTTGTTGTGAGCACCTGAAGAGACTCCTGATGACCAAGGGAAGCTGCAAGTTCAGAAGTGCGGAGCGGTAATGACAAAAAATACTTTAGGCGCCCTATGACACCATGGATTTACAAACAAGCGAAAAACAGAACTCACTCAGACTTTTCTGAACTTAGGAGCACATCTGTTTGCACGTGAAGCCTTACCTGATAGTTACATCCTTCCAGCATCCCTGCGTGAATGTCGGATGCATGGTGCAATACAGTGCTGATGTCAATCAGCGCCGAATGAACTATTCGCTATCACCACGAGCGGCGCTCCTTTTCAACTTCACTGTTTCACTCTCCTCTTTCTACCTGCCTTCCACACGTACAATAGCGGGGGAAAAACGAGGAGCAATCTTTTAGATGTTTTTTTCACCCGTTTCAACTTATTCAACCTCCCTTAAATCAACAGTGTCAAGAGCATCTGTTTAGAATATAATGCAATGACCCCAGAAATTAATAGTTTAGTAGTAGTGTAGTGGCAAGCGTCGCCACTTAGCACATGTGCGTCCAAACCCGGATCGGCTCCCGCACGAGTCAACCAGGCTTTCCATCTCTCTGGGCTAACCACCTGATACCAGACTTATCTGACAGGACAAAAATAGTGACTCGAGCATGGAATAGCCCCCATCAGTCATTGCCTAGGCCATATCGAGTCCAGAAGCCGTCACAAGATGAAAGTGGAGTGCAGGCAGTTTCCCAAAAGTGATTCATTGAAGGTGGAGGATCTATCCATTCACTTTTCTTGTTCGATGAAGCTTACCACCGTTGTACCGGCCTATTGTGCAGGGATCTTCTTCAGCGTACACTACAACATGGTAGACGGTCATGGATTGAACTCATCTCACTGTCCTTTCCTCTTCTTTCTGCTTTTTTTGCATTGCGCTCGTCAGCTCCATGTTCCTCCCGGAGCTTTAGAAACCTTAAAAATGGATTAAACGTAGAAGCAGCGCTCCCTGTCGCAACATTTCTTCTACATCTGTTCCGACAACGGCTTTAATCAACCAGCTCTATTTCTTGGGAAGCTTCTTTCATGCATGCTTCGTCTGAGGAAACAGACGCTTTCATATGCTGTTTGAAAACTCCGAAAAACTTGGTATAAAAGCACGGGATTCCAGCAGGACTCGTGAGTGCGAACGTTAATCGTTAAGATTTCTGGCGACACTCATCTTTCGAAGGATGGATCTGGGCGTGGTGGATATAGCTCCGCAGCTGCAGTATATGTTCCTATCCTCTAATCAAAGTGCACGAAATAGGGCTGAGGTTAGGTAGTATATAGAAAGCTTTGCGAAGACGGGCAAAATTATCGTAATTTGTTGTTCGCGGCGCGGCAATCGCGCGACGCTTCCTCACTTGCACTCTTTCGACTGGTGCACCGAATTTCATGTAGACAGGGACTTGGGTGACACATATGTCTGATTTTGGTCATACATTGTCTATTCTCGACTATTACCACCTAATCGTCGTCATTAGTGGGTGGCCGGGCGAATTAGATTCTCTTTGCACATACTGTGATACTTAAGGCAGCGCCCGGCGTTCATTTGTTGTTTCTCAGGACGCCCCTCGTGGGCTAGAAGCTCCCCTTATCGAGGATGTGGAGTGCATGTCGCAATCCACAATGCGACGGAAGCGGCGCCGCGCTGCAAAGAGCCTACGGCTCGCCACTGCGCGTGCCACCGGGAAAGCTTCATTCTAATGGTTGCCTGATGGTGGGTTTGTTCCATTGCTGGCTGTCTCTCGACGTGAGTGGTGAGAGTGAGCCGCTCGATAGAACGCTGATATGGAACGAGTGGAACTCGTGCAATCATTCCTCGTCTCTTCGGTTAAGCACATTAACCGTTGTTCGGTATGACTCTTCTGGGCATTTTGCTGTGTTTTCTCTTCGATTTTTCTATCGCTACTGGTTCTTGACCTCGCTATTATTACCTGAAGAGGCGCATACTCATTAAATTTGAAGCGCAGTGCGCTGGCATACTCATTAGTTTGAACGCGTGCCTGGCTTTAAGTGCCGACTCTACTCTCCGCCAGCGCTATCCTCGAAGTGCATTACTTGTGCCGATGCCAGAATTCGCAGCGAACAAGCAAGTCAGCGATAGAGAGCAGTCAGAATTGAGAGGGCGCAGACAAGTAGCGTGTACGACTACGGTCGGACTGGCGAAGCAACAGCATAGACGGACTCGCGACGCCTGAGTATCCTCCATGCCTACTCTTTGGCATTTTTGGGACGGAAAAGTGGCACGCTATTGCATCTGCGGACCCTTTCCGCTTCGTACATGGCATAGAGCAAGACCTACGTAATTGAGTGTCCAATTCCACCTCGATGAAGCTGTGCCATTCTAAAAACTTGTACGTATGCACTATCCCTTATATCATATGCAGTATTATGCAGTTCAGTACTGCTCATGTTCATTGATTTGAATGTACCTCCTTACAAGCAATTCTTAGCATTCATTGTAAACAGTGAATTAAAGATGTATCATGGTCAAACGAGATAGAGTTATATACTTGGTGATACATCACAGTAAAACAAGATACAATGTTATATTTGAGCTGTTATTGATGTCTTATACTGCTTTGACAGTATAACGGTGCGGCAAGAACTTGTCCCATTGAAGTTTATCTTCCATAGCCTGGAAATAAAATTGTTCATGGATTTTTCTGGCGTTTTGAAAATAAATGCAAGAGGTTAAGTCTTACCCCAACCCATTCCACCGTACGGGTAGCCATAACCGCCCATCATTCCCATTGGTGGAAATGGAGGACGAGGACGACCTGAACATAACAGACACATGAAAATCAGCAATATAGAGTTTCCGCATTCGGGATTTGGACTTTTTCGAGGTCTTAGGGAATGCTTTGCGAACGTGCAATATTTGCCTGATGCCAAAACGACTGACATTCGCATTCTGAAGGCTGACACAAAAACGCCGCAACTAATAGCTTGTGTTTTAGGGTGGGCACCAGACGGACTTAGAAATAGTTCAGGAGGCGCCATCACGCGCAAACCAGCAAGTACTGCCACCTATCGTGTTGGCCTACTGGCGTTTTTTTTTCTAAACAGCTACTCGCATTATAAGGCATTGCTAATTTTGTATGAAGTTACTGGTTTCTGGGTGAGCAAAATGGACTGCCAAGGAAAAAATCGACGGAATTAAGCACTTTGTAACCTTTATTCTTGCGAAGTGTCCCAAGAAGCAGTGCCTCTAAGTAACCTTTGAAATTGTTTCAAGGCCTTTTGAAGATTCAATTCGGGCCTTGCAGGGAGGGGGGCGGCCTTGCCCAGCGGGCTACCTGTTCAGTTCCACGAGGGCGCCTGTCGAATGAGCTTATACCGCAGATCTAAATAGCGGAATAAGCAGACATCGTAGTATTCTCAGAGTGTAGAAATAGTAGAACAGCCGAGTGTCTTCTCTCCATGAGAGAGGCTTAGAAACTTCATGTACGCATTCCTTCCTTCATGGGTCCTATGCAATGCACACTTACAAGGACGAAATTCCAGCCCTGAGTTTCCTGCGCTGATGCTTGGAGACGTCATTGCTGGCCCACTCTGCGTCAAATCGCCTGCTGGCTTCCGTAATTGGTGGGAAACTGCTTGGCGCTGCGCCAAATTCAATTTCCTCAACACGCTACTGTATCCGAGGCGAACAAGACCGTAGATGCTTCCATACAAAGGTGATCAAGGGACGTGATCACAAACATGGCATCGATTTTTAGCGCAGGTGCCGGCTATCATGGTAGTGATCAGAACTACTCTGAAACAATCAATGTATGTAAGCTTCAACAGAAGAAAAAAAAGCCCGAAATGGGAGCTAGGTGAAACCTGACGGCTGCGGAAATCGAATACCCTTGACTAGGCTGTACAGCAACCCTCATGCTTAGGGAGCGAATCAAGGGAAAATGGTGGAATATTAAAACAAAATATTCCATGCTTAGGGAGCGAATCATGGAATATTTTCGAAGCTATCATGGAAGGGCTACTCACCTTTGTATTGATAGATGCTTTTTAAAGTGAAAAAAGCCTTGAAAAGCAATTAGCGCTCTTATGCAAGCAAAGCATGAACACGCAAAATGGGAGTAAGCGCGTGCATAGTCTGCAATGCACGCGGCGTATTATGTGTTAAACCACTCACCCCACATTCCGCCCATTCCATAACCACCGAATCCCCACTGTGCTGTTGCGGCAACAATGAGCACCACAAGCAACATAATATTTAGTAGCAATTTCATTTTCGTTCTGAAAGTAAGCATCTTGTGACTTGCAACTGGTAATAAGTCTATTGAATCATCGAGAGGAAAGCATAACCACTGTATAAGGGGACAATTCGCGCTCCGAAAGTTACCACAAGAGTACTGAGTCATCGACAAAGGTCCTGACCCCAGGCGGGACTAGAACTCCTTTGAGGCGCCTGCGCTATCCGTTACGCCACCAGAGCAACTCTTATTCTCTCAGCTTCACGACTTTTATGCCGTAGTCTTACAACACTCATGCGTTTAACAATGTGATCCGGACAGCCGTAAATATCGGTAATAAAGGCTAGAGATGGCAGATAATGACAGAAAAATCAATAATCAAAGCAATCTGCCCGAACACGACTCCCTAAATACGACCCCTGCTAAAGGCTCCCAACGTAGACATACCTTGTTCCTGGTCAAAGACACCTTTCCTGCTGGTCATGTGGGCAGGTTCAAGCCTGTTCTCCTTAGTAACCTACCGTTCTTTATCCTACTGTAAGAGAGGGAGAGAGAGAGTCTGAGTGGGAAAGCACAATGGTGAGCCTACCTCGTGCACACGGCTGTCGTGTCTCGCGCCAGCCTTGCATTGATGGGTAACCTTGGAACCTCACCCACGGCGCCTACAGTATCTTTCCTACTGTACGCGTTATCTACAAGTTGTAAATAGGGACACATAGGAACCAGCGCAACACCATCGTTGTGGGAAACCACTCAACGTTTTGCTGAGGAAGGGTTGTACTTAGCGTTGACTTTTTTGGCTGATGACTGACCGCCTCGGAGTGCTCGGTACTCCATCCCCTCCCCCCCCCACCCTCACCCGCTCGACAGTAAAACCTGGGAAAGCCTGGGTAGGAGGCAAGTGTGAGCTTCGTAAAAATAGACTGTGTTAGGGTGTCGAGCAGCACTCTTTTCGGGAACAGTTGATGAAATCACCATTTCATTTATCCCGATGATATGCCCTGATGGGAAGGTGGATCGCGCTGCGGCTGCGGGCTCAGTCATAAGTCACTCCCATAATATGTTGACGGGAAACTGAAAGGACGACCATCAGTTTGTGAGAAAGAAGTCCGCGTTCTTCACTTGAACAAAAAAAGCCCTTCAACGACCTCCATTGTCAGTTAAACAGATCGTTCAATGGTAAATGTCCATTAGAACCGGTCTGGCTTGGTGCAATCACCGATACCTTCGGGAGCCTTCTTCAGTCCACTAACATTTGGCATCGATACAGAGATTTTTGATGTAAAAATTATTGTGTGGCTTAACTTTCTAAGCTTCCAAAGTGACTATTACGATTGCGCATAGTAGTCAAGGCGTAGAAGGCAGTGGATTGGCAACTAGGTGTTTTGGGAACAAGGGCGGTAGGAAAGAGCTTGGATCTATCACATGGATGTGCTAAGTGTGACCAGGACTGTCGGGTGCTGAGAGACTTGGATTTGGACCTTTTTATGGGTGCTGTTTGCGACGGGGGGCATTTTGCACTTTAACGACTTCCCATCGACGTGTCGACCCATCTAGACAGCCTCTTCTCGAGTTGACAGGTTTTACCATGATGGCTTGACGAGCTTGCTCCAGGTTTCACAAGAGTGAGACTTGTAAACTAGTGAAGCAACGAAAGTGCAAAATGCCCCCCCCCCGTTGGCAAACTGCGCCCTTTTTATGTAACAAGTAAATGGCGGTTCAGTGAGAATTTTTATCAAGCTTATAGGAAAGAGAAGGAGAGCGTGGACAGATGACCGCACCCAGCGCCACGCAGAGGGAGTATGCTACTAACCCCCTCCCGCCCACAGGACAGTGCTCGACAAGGGGAGGGGCAACGACTGCAACAAATATGGGTCGCGCGACGACAGTGCGATCTGAAGCTTGTTTACCAATAACCCTGAAAGGCTGCCACGCCATACGCCATACGACCGGCCATATAACTAACCATAGCCATATTTGTCTGTGCCTTCTGTAAGGGTAGTCATGGGGCGCATAGCGTTCCTGTGGCCTATCAACCGCGTAAAGAGTAGCAGACGGAGATAGAATCATCATCAAACGGACGTGAACCTCCTTACCGAGCATACGGAAAGGATCTCTAATGACGACGTCTTTGTATGAAGGAAGGTGAACAGCGTTAATGTGTACAGACTGCTACAAGCAAATTACCTCAGTTCTGGATTAGAGCGGAGGTGGTGTGGCGACAAATGGAATGCAGTCTCAACGAACCTCGGATCAGCTCCGGCCCGGATCAACCACGCTGAGCCCTCCGTGGACAGTAAATTGGTATCAGGTCCATGCCATAAGAATGCTGACTTGAACAGCTTACCGGTGTCGCCTGTCCCCTCAACTCATTGTACAGGCTTCATCCCATTTAATACCCCAACGATTCTGAGGGCTTCATCCTCTTTAACCCTTTTACCACCCGTGATCCCTCAAAATTTGGTCCTCTGCAACAACTCACTACCCCTTCTCCGTCATCATTTTAGCTAACATGCTGAATTTCCAGGTTCCTTCTTTTTTCCCAGAAGTTGTCTAGTTTCCCCTTAAAAAGTGCCTTTGAGAGGTGAGAATGGGAGGGAAAGAACACAGCGTTTCTGAAATAGGAAAATCACAAAAATTCAACAACCGAGTACAATTTCCTCGAGATACAAATGCTTCCTCCTTCTCTCCAGCTACATATGACCCTCCCCCCCCCCTTCTCGCTGGGGATCCCAACCCACATGCCCTCGACGCCAATAAACTTAGAAGGGCCACTGAAATAATTTCTTCTGCAAAACTAGAATGGAAGTGATGGAGATGAGGATTTCTGCGAAAGTGATGGAGATGAGGATTTCTTATTTAATCATATCCATTACGGCAGTTCCTCCCTGAAGGAGAGAGGGAGTGTGGGTAAACCAGTTTCAAGTACCGTAATCCTATTCTCTTGACGTTGATCCCGACACCCATGAGGAGCCTGGCCATACAAGGTTATCAATGTCCTAGAAAGTTTGGCCACTGTTGCTGAACAATAAGCTGCATAGGTTAGCCAAGAACTGAGCGTGGCAAAAGTCCAACTATATCCAAACGTCAGCGATATTAAAATTTTTCGAGCGTAAAGTGTTACAAAAATTGCTTACTCATCCGAATACCCAGTTCAATGAGGTACCTACAGCTAAGAAAATGAAGCACTGTTAAGCGAATGAACTCTACTCAAAATATGAACTAGTTCCGGAACACTTAGACTTATATAGCGAGATTGATGGAGGCGGCAAACATCAAGATCAGTTACTCGGCAAAGAACGACAGAAAAATGAATAACAACGATGCGATAAGAATGTCGTTTAATGTTCTGAGCCTGTTAGAAGTGAACAAAAAAGTTCAACGAGGTTTTTTTTTCAGGGGATGGTCACGTCGCTACTATCCGTCAATGGATGATTCAGCTGGAATGTGATCTGTTCACTGATGGATAGCCTAATGCTCATGTTTAGCGAAGAATAGCTTAAAACCAAGCTGCAAAATCTGAACTTTCACTACTCATTAGTATCAAATTTTGCTCTGAATCATGGTCTTCTTTCGACTGGGATCAACTCTATTTATTCACTCCTTCATTCCTTCCTCCTCCACCGCGGTTGCGATGGGCCGACCTTGCCTGCTGTTTTCACTTAGGTGGCTTGAATTGACCCTCCATTTTATAAACCACAAACCGGCTTATGGGTCTGTATGTACGTATGGATGTATGGATGTATGGATGGATGTGTTCCATTATGATAAATGATGATTAACGCTGAAGTTCAAAAGTCTGATCCCACGGACTCAAGCCCGCGTCTAACGCATTCCGGGGAATGCGCTATCCGTTACGCCACTAAGATCTCTCTTATCCTTTCAGCTTAGCTGCTCTCATGCCGTAGCCTTGCAGCACTCAGCTGAGAGAGCAAGATCAGCCTAGTGGCGTTACGGATAGCGGACTGCAGGGAAAGCGTTAGGTACGGGATCGAGTCTCGCCTGGGATTACACTTTGGTCCATAGCCCAGCATTCTTGTATGCATAGTCATTTTGCTGTGGACGCTGGGGCGATGGTGTGGGAAGCGTCTGGCGCGGCTCCAGCTCGTAATCCACTGATTGTTGTAGCGGACAAGGGTCGACAACTGGGGAGAGAAGAGTGGGCTTTTGTCTCTCAAACCAACCCCTTTCACTTTCCCTCCTGATACGATCCAGCAACTGCAGCGCTGTTATCTGTCCACCAAGAACGATTTTCGCTTGATCCTATCATGGTGTGATTTCAGATTAGCACTTGGCTCGACCCGTCCAAGGTTGTTGCAGTTTATAAGGCCAACGTTTTGGCTCTTCCGCCTTAGTGAGCTCTAATGTCTGTCGTAGTGACGCGAAATTGACCATTCAGAATCTCCCAGAGGTCCGTCCGCAAAATGCCTCATGGATTTGGTGTGGTGATTGGTAGAAAAAAAAGACTGCTGTCCTGACCGGAAACCGATAGGAGGAGCGGAGTGGAGTTAGTACATAAGACAACCGTCCAGAGCAATCCGCTCCAATGCACAAGCTTCTAGCGTGGCAGGCGGGCGTGAGGAGAAAGAGAAAAGGGATGAGAGCGATGGGTTACGGTGGAGAGTGTAGCGAGTGCCCAACCAGAAGCATCTATCCTCTATGGAAACGAAAGCGTCACTGGGTCCGACGGGGTGAGGATAAATCGAGTCGACAGCTAACAGAGTCCCAATCACTCCAACTCAACACTTTATATTTCGTCTCGTAATAAGATTGGCAAGATTGGATCCAAGGGTTACCACGTGCAAAAGACTGCTCTTAGCTGCTCAGCTCTCGAGCGCTGAGCAGGCAAGAGCAGTTTTGTGCGAAGACGTACGACCCCGATCAGCTAACTAGGGAAGAGCTCCCCGTTACAAGTTGACACTACTACGACTTGAATTTTTATGATGACTGCTGCTTTTCTTATACTGTTCTCGAAATCTCTCACGGGAATGGAGTTTCAGGCAGAGTGCTTCGCGGAATCGACGGCTTGAACTCAA